AATTGTGTATACCTACATTTTAGCAAACGCCGAGACAAGTTCAGCAAGCATTATAAAATATCTTTTTCTCTATCTGTACTAAATAGAAAACAGTAAAAAATGATATCCTAGTAAAAAATATCCTAACAATAAAAGAATGTGCAGAACAGACTAAGCATTCGTTCATTTGCTGTCTACGTGAGTGTACTGGAGTTGATGGACATCATTTTAAACACACACTGTGAATTTACGTAAATTTGAAACTTAAAATTAGAGACATCGCATGTTATCCAGCGTCGCAAAATCACTTTTTCCTGTACATCTTCCTTCGCATTATAATTCCTTCAGATAAACAAAATAATTTTTATTGCAGGTAGACTCAATGTCCACTAATTCATGGCCAAAAAACCTTGATAACTTCGGGAAAAATGGGTTGATAAAAAATGTAATATAAGTAATCATGTTAAAGGTCTCTTTGAACTATTACTATGTAACAAAAAAAATTTCGACCGGTTCACTTACAATAAAATAATCTAAGGTAATCACCTTAGGCATTTATCTTGTATATGAGTTAACTATTCAGCGATTATATATAAAAGTTTGCCTAATTTACACAATGTGCTTAAATTAAACAAACTTCCTTTGAATATTCTATACTATTTTTCGAAAAACGTATTCATACTACAATCTGACTCATGTTCCAGTTTGTGAAGCTTTGCAAACACGGAATCTTACTACCGTTTAGCTTGGCTAATTACGGACTAAAAACACTTCATTTTCCATTCTTTCATTTCAATTTTTGAAATTGTAACTTGAATATATGTATAGAGTCGGACCTTTTCTCCCAGATTACTTGAATACAAAGTTTTCTTAACAGAGTTAACAATAAAATGTCAAAATTAAAGAACGTGGCACAGTAGTACACACATTATGCTTTTTCTAAAAAGGGAAAGTTATTTTCGTTTTCGTGTAACAAACGTTGTATTTTAACAGTTATAGAAACAAGTCCTTTCCACACTTGTTAAGAATGGTGGCACATTTTTTGTACGTTTAATTTCCTATAATTCTCGACAAATTATAGGGGAGAGTCGTGCAGTACCGACCACTCTAAGTTTTTGTACTATAACTTGGGCTAATGTTGGTAAAAATGAAATTTCAAAAAAGTAATTTGTAGTACAAGGGGTGCTTAATAAAAGGGGACAAATCGTTTTTCTTAAATTTTCTCATAAAGATAAATAATTCGTAGAAATAAAAAAGTTGTAATTTGCAGCGAACGAAAAATTGTCGCACAGTACCGGCCAGCTACTTAGTAGATTTTAAGGTCTAGGTAATAAATAATGTTAGTAAAAATCATTTAAAAATAGAATAGAACTTTTATTTAGGCATCGATATTTTCTCGATCCGTACACTCCACGTGAGCCCAACCATTGCAGCTATGAAAAATAACTTTTGTCGTACGGAACACCAGCGTAAACGTTAAAGTCTTAGAACTCTGGTAATACTGAAGAAAAAAGAATATAGTATTTATTTGGTTTTCCATTAATAGTGCAGTCAACTAACAGTATAAGCGAGATCTAGCTTTGGCCGGTACTGCACGACTCTCCCCTAACTATATTACGGGTTTTAATTCATTTTTACCAAGTATATTTCAAATTGAAGAATTAAATTTGCTACTATAATTTATTCTATTAAAAATTTATGGATTTAAAGGCTCAGATACTCTCACGATAGATCTAACAATGAGTGAACCATTCGAACACTTGGATCTATGTTTATAAACCTAACAATAAATGTATAAATACTGAAAATTCAGGTATCCGTAAATTTGAACAGCAGTAAGAATGTTTATTAGAACGTGCGATAAAAACATAGATATGTAATTTTATTAAAAACTTTGATTCGAAACAAATGATAACTCGGTTAAGAAAAATATTCATAATCGTAGTTATAGGATTCTCGTTTGTAAAGCGTTAAAAATGGGACGTGTTTTCAGAAATGAATAATTTGTTTTAAAATCAATCCGTGTGCATAGTTAGAAAGCCGCACGGGAGTAACAGATGTATCTCGGTAGGATACATATTCTCGTCGCCATTTGAGCCGATGGAATTCGGTTAGGCGATGATATACCCGTTTCCGTACAAATTGGACTGTTGACAATGCGGTTTGCCATCATGCTCGGTTTATTAGGTAAATCGATTTTACGTCTATCTTGTAAATTGCTATGGAACAAATCAAAATTCGATCACGCCAAAAAAGTGTTCCCTTACTTCTGAAACACCGCTTATCACTCTGCGTAAGCAACGAATTAAACGAGAGATGGAAGGAAAAGTGGGAACATACTCGTTACAAATTTCCATACGATAGAAAGCTGTTTATCTGAACCGGGCTTTCTTATAATGTAAAAGGATTTCGTAAACTACACAAGAAATGGAAAAAAGAAAATTATTCTGTCGTTTATTTCAAAGTCGACCTATAATAGACATGAAACTTAGTTCTACTTTGGGTACAATATGTTTGCAACATGAAATATCAGTACTAAATACATGTATGAAGGACTGCGGAGCAAGAGCGCCAAAAAGAATATCAATCTGATTCTTGAACGTCGACAATCTAAGGAATTTTTTTAACGAAAACGCTAGTTCTGAGCCGATCTCGAAGTATAATAGTGCACACATAAGCGTCCGCAGTCGGGACCGAATGTGGGGAGGTGACTTCTGCGAATTTAACTAAACAAAAGAGAGGAGATGTGCTGAGTGGGATACCGATATATCAAGTGTCAGTTGTTCACATTCAGGAGTCGATATCGAATTACTTTGTTTCACTCGGCACGCTCGAACTCCACTCCGATGTCCCATTTCCAAGAATTGCTGGGGATAGCGACGGACGCTTAAGTGTGCAAAAATGTGGACGCTTATGTGTGCACTACTGTACATACTAAGTAGCTCTACGTAAAGTGGTCAGACAAACTCGAGCACGGAGCGATACTCGAGCAATAAGCCACGCCTACTCGAGCACGGAGCGATACTCGAGCAATAAGCCACGCCTACTCGAGCACGGAGCGATACTCGAGCAATAAGCCACGCCTACTCGAGCACGGAGCGATACTCGAGCAATAAGCCACGCCTACTCGAGCACGGAGCGATATTCAAGTAATAAGCCACGCCTACTCGAGCAACAATACGGCGATGGGGCACTATATGAATGTAGTAGTGATCGTACGTGCTGAAAAAAGTAACTGAGGCACTGAACTACGTCTCACAAATGTACCAAACATGCCTACTTATGAGCTACACTAGAGCCGCTGAACTTCTTGCTCACGAGAAAATTTCCCCTCCCGAGGTTCCCCTACTATGCGGTGCGAACATTGATCGTACGTGCTGAAAAAAGTAACTGAGGCACTGAACTACGTCTCACAAATGTACCAAACATACCTACTTATGAGCTACACCGTCCTCCTCCCACCGCGGCGCAACTCGTGCGAGACCATCTCAGTCGCATAGTGGGGGAACCTCGGGAGGGACAATTTGCTTGTGAGCAAGAAGTTAAGCAGCTTTGATCTAGAGGGCTGAATTTAAATACTTCGCGGGAACGAATCGCGTGTCAAACTAAAAGAAGTCGCGGGCCGCGAGTTGCCCATATGTGGTCTACAGCAGAAGCGCTTAACTTCTTGCTCACGAGAAAATTTCCCCTCCCGAGGTTCCCCCACTATGCGGTACGAACACGCAGAATGTGTAACATAAACCAACGGCAGTCGCTGGAGTTGTGGTGGGAGGACTCCTCGCGTCCTCCTCCCACTGCGGCGCAACTCGTGCGAGACCATCTCAGTCGCATAGTGGGGGAACCTCGGGAGGGGAAATTTTCTCGTGAGCAAGAAGTCAAGCGGCTCTTAAGCGACACTCTCTCTACTACCGTTTCTACCCATTCACGACTGCCGACGTCACTTGTTCTTCGCTTTGCTCGTAGCATTGCTTGCGAGCAACGAAGAGCCCTCTTGCTCGTAAAACGTCTGTCTCAGCGGCTCTGTGTCAGTTAGTAGGCGATGAGCCGTGACGTGAGTTATATTAATGTCTGTATGAATTCGCAAATCTGTGATTTTAAATATACTTTTTTGTTTAGTCTAGTCTTCCGACTAACCCACCGATCCCAAAATCCAATATGTAACATTCGTCAAAGTTTTGCTAAAGGCTTCTTTTATACTTTTTATTTCTTCTCTTTGCCATGCGATATATTGTACCACTTCATCCCTAACACAAAACCTATTACAAACCATTTGGTTTATAATATTTATAATATTTGTTACTTGGATAGAATCGTTTTGCCATCGACCAATACTTTGCTTGGTTTAATAGATCATAACATTTATGCTCAATAAAATAGTTCGTTTTTATTAGTTGAACAAATTGAGCTTGTCATTTATTCAATCTGTTAACCCTCAGAAGGCGAATGGTTTTAGGCGGACGCGTAAAATAGGTGTATTTTCTGTATCAAACGTAATCTGAGCCGTCTGACTTGCAAAATGACCCTGCATTCGTCGTACGAGGGTTAATGTTTTTTCTTATCATTGATGAAGAATGAAAAGTGCGATGAAATTAATGAAAGTAACTGTGAAACCTACCAGTTCAACAAATAAGAATACACGTAATATGTTTATTAATTGTTACTTACTACCGTTGCTTTCGTATCTTTTACAGCATTTGTAATTAGTATATACACTACTGGTCAAATGTTTGGAATCACTGTGCGTTGCAAGTTGCACAAAAGTTCCCCAGAAATGTTAGCATTTATAATAATTTTCCAACGAATTTTTTATTATTCAAATCAATCGAAATGAGATGAAGTGCTATTGATCTCCACAACATCAATTGCAAATTAATAAAGAATTAGTAGCAGATTCAATAATAATATAAATTGGCAGGTGATTCCAAACTTTCGGCCGGTAGTGTATGGATAATTTGTACACCAAAATCTTACTCACAATCAACATCCTTTATTACAAACTTTGGTAATAGCTTGTAACTCACCGTTACGTCTTGATACACCAACAGAGCCAAGATTTTGAAGCGTCAGGGCAGTCATGTCAGCTTTTTGACGTGCAGTGTTGTAACGTCGGGGATCGAGTGCTACGGCACCTGGTAAAGACTTAAAACCAGCGGTCGTAGCACAGTCTTCGCCCAATGATCCGGTCGATGCCGCTTCTATCACGTCGAGAGCTTCTTCTATATCCGCCTTAGAAACAGAGTGGTTTATCGATCGTATCAACACAGCCCACGCATTTTAAACATAAATATCGTTTTGCTTTTCACACTTAATGAAATATCAATTTTTGTCATTTAATACTTCGTTATACTATTGAAACAATAAGATTTTCAAAAAAACATACGAGCAATTGTTGCATCCTTGAGATCTTGTTTTGATTATGTATCGTACGATCATTTAATGTTAAACGTTTAAGTTAATCAAGTATTACTATATTTTTGAAAAATATTTTTCATACTACTGCATGATATAAGCTCTAATTAGAAATAAAAGAAGCATCGTTTATTATAAATACATAAAACCGAAGCAGAGGTCAATTCATGAACGATTTGTCGAGTAAATCACGTGACATTTTTACTAAAATTCTTGATGCCAATAATCATGAAAAAGACTATTTTATATTTCAAGTAAGATAATCAAAAGAATCTAGCAAAAGACACTGCAGATTCTGGGAACATATTTGAAGAATAAAATAAGTTCGAATATTTTAGAAAGAGAAATTTTACACTACGCAAATATTTACCCTTTTTGTATCGAGAATCTCGTTGGTGGTGTCTGTAGCGAAAGACGGCACCGAGGTTGAAGTAGCCGTTGTTACGGTGACATACGCCATCATTGTCATCGTTGTTATCGTCGCAGGAAATAGGGCCAAAAGCCAAGATTTGCCCATCCCGCGTTCTGCTCATTTGTACTTTGAAATGAATGCAAGTTAATTTGTTCCTTGTAACCGAATAGAATTAGTTAAAATGATGAGAAATCAAAGCTGAAGGTTACCAATTCAAATATATAAACTATGTGTGTACATGCTCTCGAAAAGAAAAAAAAATGTAACGTTAAATAATGTTACAATACTATAAGCAGATTCTACATATTACATCAATATACTTTTGTATATACTCTGTATATTGTACAGACATCACAAATAGGAAAATAAGAAAAAGTCAAGCAATTTGCATAATTTAGAGCTTTGAGTTAGGAAAATGGGTTAATAGAAGTAACAATAAGTACTACTAAAGCAGAGGCCAATTCTGTTGGCCTCTCAAGGCCACTTTTCCTCCGTCGCTTTTGTACACCGACGAACCCTACCAAGCGAGGCCTACATATGCAATGGTTCAACTGGTCAACGTATAGGCGCACGGGTGTAACTATGTTTGTAATGCGACCTTTGTTTTACTTCTGGAGGCAATATGCTCTCTTCGTCATATGTTATAGAGGTGCACTTTTATCATTTGTCTCATTCTTGGAAATATGTTTTCTTTGTCTTACGAATGAGTCCTTCTCCGTCTATCTTTTTCTTTTTGTCTTTTGTATTCTGATGCAGCAATGAAAATTGCAAACTTATTGTAACATGTCTTATTGTTACTCGGACAAATACTGTTATTATCGTCCAAAATTTATGAATAAATAAATATACGTATCCACATCGTTTATCCACATATGCATATACAAACACGACAAGCAATCATTACACAAGTCAATGGCTGAATAAATAAGCATTTATAAAAAAATGTAAATAAACATTTCGATTTTACAGCCTATCTTTATGAAAGTACGTAGTACCAATGAATTGGTGAGACTCTCCTGATGAAAATGATTCTAAACACGATATAAATTGCATCATTTTTACCAGCAATCAAATGAAATATCTCGGGCAGCGAAAATGCGACCAATTTTAAGAGTGATTTAAATCCGATTACTGTTAAGTCCACTCCGATGTGTGTCGTGTTTGGACTCATTTTCATCGAGGGAGCCTAACCAATCCATTGGTACTATTTTAATAAAGATAGAATGAAAATTATAGAAATTTAAATTTTCGTCATTGAATAGATTCATTGCAGCGCACGTGGTATCCCTGTCAAGTGCCGCATCTTTCTTACGCTGTAACTATTCTCGTGTGGTTTTATGCATGGGCGCGTGTGCATGTATGTAAGTATACATATGTGCTGCAGCATGGCCAGCGTAATTTAAGGGCGAAACGGAGAGATTCTATTTCACGACTGCTACACTACCGAACGATAAGAGTGGAACTGAAAAGCGACGGAGGAGAAGATCGCACGACAAACCAACAGAATTCGCCCCGACTATAGTTTGTTGAAAACTTAAGACGTCATCTGCGTGGGTTATTAGGTCGTAGAACTACTAAATAGCCTAACTTCTTATTTCTACGTAGAAGTTACTTTATACCTTAAAGTCTCTAATAGAGAACTGTTTGGTTTATAAAACAGATGAAAAAATATTAGTCTAATACAATAAAACAGATGTAAACCAATCGGCAAAATATTTGTACTTTGTTGTTATACATTTCAAAGTAAAGCATTTACTTATTAATTATGACAAATTGCAAATAAATGGAAATTGTATAAAATAAAAAATCTTTACTAATTACTTCCTCTCTTTTAAAAAGATGAAATATAAAATTTAAAGACTTTCATCTTACATAAATAAAATATAAATTTTTAACTATTGTAAGTATATAGATTTATTTTGGTTGAAATGAATTGCTATTACTATGTTTATTATATTGTAGTGACTAAAGTTTATTTATTATACATATACATGTAATACATATAGGTATGTCTTTTATAATTTTATAATACCATTCATTATCATGACTGTCTTACTACATTATATAAAATAATAATAATGTGGGAATGGACGTTTCGTGTGAATGTTTGGTTTTTTTAATGGAGCAAGAGAGAATGTGAAGGCGCAAGGATATATGTACTCGTATGGCGTGGAAGACGCTTGTGCGAGTCAGTGAAAGAGTTGTCCATTCTGAGAATCGAACGTTGTAAATAGCATTGTGAGTTACATTGTAAATTAACCAGGGAGTATGTTTAATTAATAAACGTTATCAAAATCACTCCCCTATCTCTAAACCACTGAAGTGGGATTTATCTTCGAATAATCCCTACAATAATATTGTATGGAAGGTTACAAGATTAATATACGTGTAAGTAGTTATTTTGTTAGTATGATCGAGTGCTGCTTCATAAAACATGTTACATGCCACTTCTGATTTTATTGCTGCATTTCCTAAATCTGTATTAACATTGTACGTATTATGTACTAGCTTACAGTCACTAAGTCCTGTATCTTTTCATTTCCATGTTTTAATGGCATATTTAAATTTAACTATGAACGAGTCCATTAATAGCAAAATCACTTCTATTTATTTGGTCAGTATATTTTTTTAATTAATGGTAAGTATTTTTTAAAACAAATAGTCAGTAAAAATGAATATTTTTGTCAATTTGGAAGTAACGTGGTGTAAAAATAATTATTACACGAAGGTTGCTTAACAGAAATATATATTTATTTAAATCAGATAACGCTTAAACTATTTTTAATGTATAAGCGACACGATGCATGTAGAAAGAACGTCTGCGACAAAAAAGCCTCGTGCCTTTTTCGGGGCTCCCTTAAGTAGCCCCCTTTTCCCTGTGAAAGTCCCAGGAAGTGGAGGCGCGGGCCTACATTACCGAGGCAATACTCTTGTCCTCGAGGACGAAGAAACTCGGAGATGTTTGGAAAAACATCTCTCGATTCTTCGCCTCGAGGGCCAAGAGTCGCCAGGCCTAAGTACGTAGGCCCCCCGTGGCGGTCGCCACATCAATATAAATAATTAATTATTACTATTAAATCGCAATTTGTCCGTAAAATTTTGTTTATTTGGTCAATAAAATTAAACTTCTTGGTTAGGTTAGGTTAGGTTAGGTTAGGTTAGAATATTTTATTATATACACTGATAATCCATTTAAAATACCGATACATTATTATGTTTATTAATATTTTAATGAAAATGCTGACAGTTTTTGTATTAATCGATATGATACTGATCACTTATATTACGTACTGATGTTTTATTTAAAATACTGATTAAAAATGTTTTAAAATACTGACCCAATAAATAGCAGCTTAGTTAATAAAATTACCTAGATTACTTACGTACATAAATTTTTATTTTACGCAAAATTCTATATTAGCTAGCAGCAGATTTTAAATAAGTTACGGTTTTGGCGGTGTTCAAGATCAGTGTGAGGATAGTATTGATATTCATAAGTATGTCGTCAGTTTGGACGCCCGGTAAACGTAAAGGGAAGGTAATTTGTTATTACTCGTAATAAACATACAACTGACTAGGTATTATTTGAAAACATTAAAGAAATGTTTTCATGTTGAACCAACCTTTTCTTTTGCATTCAAGTGGTGCCAAGTTTGAGTCCTGGGTCCATGGGGCGCTCATCCACCCCCGTTAATATCTTCGACATTCTTCGTGATGATCTTATAAGTTTGCTCCAATTAGCTGTCACTCTCACTAATTGTTCATCGCGAAGAATCCGTTCTGTTGAATAAAAAGTTATCGTTCATTGACCATTATATTTACTTAAATAAAGAGTCATTGGAGTAAAGTAAAAATGTTTCTTATATTTATTAAAACAGAAGTGACATGCGCTTCGCATTATACATACACTGACTCTCACTAATACTCGGACACTCTTTAAAAATTGGACCTAACGACTTGAGTTTTTTTTTTTGAGAAGTTAGAAGGATTAGTGTACTAAATAACATATACAAAAAATTTTGAAAAAATTGCATATCAATCGTCAGTGGGGATTCCTTGTTCAAACGAGTCCAATTAATACCCTTCGTATACCTGAGTTCAGGTAAATTTACTGTTTCAACAGTACATTCTCAGTGTAGTAGGTGAGCTTAGAATTTTTTCTGCTGTCATACAGTGAACAACGTTTTATTCTGTTCTCGGCAATGTCAAAAATTGTTAAAGAAGGTAGTCGTGCGGGAACATCGAATGGAGCCCTCAGGTTTATGGCCCGATCATGGTAAATTGCGCTAA